GTTGAACCCAACTTGTCCAAGTATATTATCAAACATGTAAACATTGAAAAACCCTCTTTGTGCTTTATAAGTATACATATATTTTTTGGGAATCTGGTTAAATATGATAATAATAATAAGGCTTAGCGAACCCGAAGGTTCAATGCCGCCACCACCAATCGTTTTGTGGTGTTTGGTGAACTTAAGATATGTGAGTAGGGCGTTCAATCCTACGTCACACCCTCCAGCAAGTCTGGTGGGCCCCTACCTCCAGCAAGTCTGGAGGTCCCCTCCCTCCAGCAAGTCTGGAGGGCCCCTCTCATTGTTGGTCAGCGAGTCCATCGGACTTAGCCGGGAGGAACTTCCAAGGAATTTCCACCGACCATCCCCACATCCGCCACCCGTGGGACGCTCTCCATACGCGGTAATGAGTCCGCGCGAGGGGTTAAATATGATACCAGAGTAAAATCTTCAGTAGGAAGTTCATTTCTACCTTGAAATTTTTATATCATTGGTTGCATTTTGTGTCTTAAGAATGATCAGCAAATAGGTTTTTATCACTCAAAATCTTTTTATATCATCCAAGCATCCAATCTACCAGATTTGGGTTCTATGTCAAATAAAACATTATGAAATATTATACAATATTTTTTTAAATTTGTTTCTCTCTGTTCAATATCTCAATTATTCAAAATGTCATTGTTAATCAGAAATGCTATATTTCAACCATATTAAACATTATATCAGTCTTAAATGTGTACCATGGTCTCTTCAAACCGTTTCTCCCCAACTATGATGGTATGTTAACGGAGTTTACATTATTAAATAATTTATAAGTTTACATAACTACATGATTACCTAGTGTAAAAGTAGATATGAAAAGCACCAATTAGTAGATAGACCTTTGAAGCAATAAGGGCCAAACTACTGGGGGAAACCGGATTCTATAGGTACATAATCACAGAGAACGATTTCTCTCAGCTAGTAAGGATAATTACCCATATTACAAAGCATCCAACCAACGGGTGGAAGGAATTACTAGGGAATCATTTCAACCTGCACTAATGAAGATCAAAGAACCAAAGGATATGTTGTAAAATTATCGCGCTAGTCATAGGCAATGAAAGAAGAACAATAAATAATATGCATCAAATAGTAGTAAGTATCAAAGACATAAGAGTGGAAAGATTACCCTACAAAATGACCCTTCCTCAGTGATAGTTTGGTGGGGAATTTGCTTTGATGGCACCACGAAGCTCCATTTTTTTAAAAAAAAAGAGTTAAAACAGCCACTAAAATCTATCAGGACGATATTTTGGAGTCTGTTGTTAAGCCTCTAAATGATACTCTGTTTGCTGGAAGTCATTGAGTTTTCCAGCAGGATTCCCTTCCAGCTCACAAGGCCAGTTCAACTCAGCAGCGCTACTAAAGAACATTCAGAATTCATCTCTGGTATTGATGACTGGCCACGGAGATCAAATGCCTGTGTCAAGGCAAAAAGGGGGGCATTTTGAGTGATTTCTTTTTTTGTTTTACTCTCTATAGATAGACATTTTATTTTCTAATAAAGTTATTGAAAAAAATAATTTTTCTGTTGAAATCTGTATATATTTCTTTGTAATAATATTTATGACAGGACCAGATACAACATCACTCAGGAAGATTTCCCTCAGCTAATAAGGATAACTATCCGTACTAAGAAGCATCGTGTACGGGTGGAAGGAATTACTGGGGGATGATCATTTCAATCTCCACTAATGAACGTCAAAGAACCAAAGGATTTATAGTAAAAGTATCGCTCTACTTCTAGGCTAGGGAAGAAGAAAAATAAATAAATAAATAATAAGCATCAATTAGTATTAAGTATCAAAGACTAAAGTAGTATCAAGGCGAATAAGATGAGTATAGTATTCACTTTTTTACAACTAATATTTTAGACTTTAGTGTCAAGTTACTTCTTAGGGAATCATCCGTTTTTTTAAAGACCTTTACGAATCCAAAAATGTCAACTTTTAAGAATGGCCCTATTGTAGAAAATTAAAAATCCTATACTCGTTAATATATCACACATTCCGGATTCATCAGTAAGTATCGAAGTAATTACTATTTATTTACACGTTATATGCTACTCCTGCTTAATAGTGTGACCAAATTTCTTCATATGCCATGTAAATGGTGAATAGTACAAAATAATTTTTTTTTCTAAAAATGCCGCTGATTTAACCCGAGCCAGATACCTATCCTTTCATGATAAATTCCAGTCCCATCCGAATCCACTTGTTTCCTGACTTGCTTCTTCCTCGATTCCTGATAATCGCTCTAGGCGTCTGAAAAGAAGATGGCCTCGTGATCTTCTCACCTAGAATTAAATAGGGAGTGCTACCACTGGGCAGTATCTCTTCAAGTCTATCCATGTCATAATTCTAATGTGTGCATTTTTACTAGTTTTATTGTTTATACAGTTGTAGATTTCATTAAATAAATAGAAAGAAATGTTACTAAAAATGTATACTATAATAACAATAGGGAAAAAAAAAATACGGGATGAGGTTCAAAAAGGTCTAACAAACAACAATTTTACATACCGTGCGAACCTTCAGTTCCTTTTTCATATGAAAAAAATCCTGACAACGATCAATTTGAAAAAAAAAATTGACCATGCCTTTCAGCAGGTGACTAAAAAAGAGGTGGATGAGAGACCTCCTTTCCTAAATTAAGGAAGTAAACCAAGACCAGGAAGAGGTACTACTGGGTACTATGTTTTCTTCATGCCAACTAAGACTTTTCTTCATTAATAACTAAATAGGTCCTGAGTGAATGCAATATTGGATTAGTATAAGTGTAGAGATAGCTGAATTTTTGGTTTAATTATTAAATTGGAGTTTTAAGTGGATCGGAACAAGCACTTATAGAATAAATTGTTACTTCTTTGTAAGGTATGAAGCTCCGTAAATTGTTCTTCAGCATGAGCTATTGACCAATAACTTCAAAGAAACCATTGATTCCGACAACATATCGTCAGACACGGGCGGATCTACGGAGGGGGAGACTTTCGGCTGAAGCCCCTCCCTCCTCTCCCAATGGTAAGATGTAACCACGTTTTATGGTAAAAAATTATGTTTTAAAGAATTATTGTTCCGCTTAATTGCATTTAGTAGAACTTCAAGAATCACTTAGATACCATTTCATACAGGTAGTTAGTATCTTTCTCTTTTTCCAAAGTAATTACCCTTTAATATATATGAAAAAAAAGTTATATTAAGATATATTCAAATACAGCCTGATTCAAATTTACAAGAGATTTTAAAAAAAATTTAGTTTCTTTTTATAATTTGCATGTTTTATCCTAAGGTCTTTGGAAACATATAGTTAACGTAATTATTCGATCCTATTCGTAAATTTCTTTCTTAGGAAAGCCTTATGTCCACCCATAACAATTGAATATAACCCAATGCCTTATAAAAACTATTTACGGAACCTCGGACTTTACATAGACAAAAGACTTACTTGGAACATACATACTAAATTAAAAAGACGAGAACTGACTAGACGATTTAACAAACTCTCACATCTTCTGGACTACAGATCCTCACTTAATTTACGATACAAGAGACTGATCTACAATACCATACTGAGACCAACTTGGACATACGGAGCAGAACTTTGGGGTTCGGCAAAAACGCACATAAATAAAATACAATAAACAATTTTCTACTCACTATGGTACATTTCAAATAATACTATACATAACGACTTAAACATCCCAACAGTAAAATCGTACTTCCACGACAAATACACTTCATTTCATTCTTCAGCTCTAAATCATTTCAATCCATTAGTCCTATTCATTTCCTGTTCCCTGTTACCTGATCGACGCAGACAAAATAGAAAATGGCCAAGGGATCTACTCCTGCAAAAATAACAAAATGAAAGGTAATCAAGCAAACTCGTAGCCTAATACATCAAATTAGCTAGGTGCGCACAGCGCAAGCACTCATGGCATATAATGTTTTAAAAAATAAATAAATAAACCATTTAATCGATGTAGGGAAACGAATTTTTTTTTCTTAAGAATCGTTGGGATGGTGAATATAAGTCAGTTGGTTATTTAAATTTCTAACGATTAGGTAAAAGTAGAACAACTTAAGTAGCCAAATATAAAATAAAATAATAGTTGATTAATCAATCTAGTTTATTTGATTTTTCACTTTCCTGTACATCTGTAAATTTGCTTAGTGTCAAATTCATGACAGGGACGGATTAAGATCTGAAAATTTAAAAAAAAATTAAATTTGAATGCTAGTAGGTTATTTGATTTTCTAAAGATGCTGTAGAAGTTAACAACTTGAGGTAGCTAAAGATACAACGATCATATTCCATTACGATATGAGAAATGAAAAAAAAAAAAAAAAAGAAATGTTCTACATGAACTAGCGAACAATTATTTCAAAAGAATCTTATGTTCAAACAAGATATACTATAATAATTTTTCAATTAAAAAAAAAAAGTGAGAATATTCGTAAAGAATCCATTGAATAGAGACTGGACACGAGGCAGTAAAGCTTGTTAACTGGTCCAGCGGCAGTGAAGCCTTGAGATTAAATATAGTTAGGTTTTGTTGAACCGCTGAGGGGGTCTAGTGTCAACCTTAATAGAGTTAGCTTAGAGGTCTATTTAAGGCCGGCCGAGGCTCGGGGTGGGGTATCCGGGTCGGATCTGAACCACTGGGTTCGGGATATCGAGTGTCAGCCTCTCTACTAAGTGAGGAGTTAGCTCACTCGAAATAGAAGCCCTAGTTATTGAGGCCGTGTATTCTAGAGGCCTTTAAGGAGAAACAAGAGGCTACTAGTGTTACCATTATATCTCAACTAATAGTCAACATTTTAGTTGAAACTAGTATATTTAGATAGTCAACTTCTAATCAACCTGATTACAATGTTTTACATTATAAGGTTTTTTTTATATTCGAATTTTTAATTTGATATCATTTTCTCATTTTAAAACCAATATTATTATTTTTTTTATCAATTAGTTGATGATTCCAAATATACGATTTCTTGAATGGATTATTTTCATTTTGTTGATATTCAAAACCTTGAGAATGTGCCATTGATTTTTTTTTTCATGTTGGACATTCTCAGAAACCTTGAACCAATATTGATACTGTTAATTTTTTTAACTTGTATTTCTCATGCATGTTGCATTATTATATATGATAAGTGGAAATAGGTAGTAGATGAAATAAAATATTTAAGAAAAATTCAAGCAAGATTCAATTTATTACAATAAGTTAAATTAATCATATAAAGATCTTATATAAACAATAAAAGAAACAACCTCTCATCTTTCACGGTATGTACATCCCTGTGTGCTCGAACAATACCAGCTCACTTGAAAAATATTATATTACGTCAAAAAAATAATATATAATTGGGGTGTTATCTGTTGTCCGCGCCTGTACATAGTACAAAAGACGAATAAGTATAAGAAATATGTAGCGTGATGTTTAGAAGCATTTGCGGTGGACGATGCCTGGGCCGGATTCGTCGTATTCCTGCTTGGAGATCCACATCTGCTGGAAGGTGGACAGGGAAGCCAAGATGGAACCACCGATCCATACGGAGTACTTCCTTTCTGGGGGAGCGATGATCTTGATCTTGATGGTTGATGGAGCGAGGGCGGTGATTTCCTTCTGCATCCTGTCAGCAATACCTGGGTACATGGTGGTACCTCCGGAGAGGACGGTGTTGGCGTACAAGTCCTTCCTGATGTCAACATCGCACTTCATGATGGAATTGTAGACAGTCTCATGGATACCGCAAGATTCCATACCCAAGAAGGAAGGCTGGAAGAGAGCCTCTGGGCAACGGAACCTCTCGTTACCGATGGTGATGACCTGACCGTCAGGAAGTTCATAAGACTTCTCGAGGGAGGTGGAGGCAGCAGCGGTGGCCATTTCCTGTTCAAAGTCCAGGGCAACATAGCACAGTTTTTCCTTGATGTCCCTGACGATTTCCCTTTCAGCTGTAAGTCAGAAAACACACAAGTTAGGAAACGGCAAGTTGAAGTCATATAACGCGAAACAGAGTCTCCGGGTGATAGTTTCGAATTGAAAAAAAAATGGCGTCCGAACATTAAAATCTTTATCTTGTAAATCCTAACTTTGGAAATGATTTCTAAAGTTAAAAACTATTCGAATTTAAGAATTTTGAAGTCTTTTTAAGAATTTCAATAGTATAGTATTTAGAATTAAATTATGATTTCAGTGATACGTACCGGTGGTTGTGAAACTGTAACCACGTTCGGTGAGGATCTTCATAAGGTAGTCAGTCAAGTCACGTCCAGCAAGATCCAGACGGAGGATGGCGTGAGGAAGGGCATAACCTGGAACACAGAAAAAAATAAGTTTGATTGTCCCGTTGATTTTACTAGATACTTTGTAATAATTCAAAGCATTTTATAAGTTGTAACAAACCTTCATAGATGGGTACGGTGTGGGATACACCATCTCCTGAGTCAAGTACAATACCGGTGGTACGACCGGAGGCATAGAGGGAGAGTACAGCCTGGATGGCGACATACATGGCTGGGGTGTTGAAGGTCTCAAACATGATCTGGGTCATCTTCTCCCTGTTGGCTTTAGGGTTGAGGGGAGCCTCGGTGAGGAGGATGGGGTGTTCCTCTGGAGCGACTCGCAGCTCGTTGTAGAAGGTGTGATGCCAGATCTTTTCCATGTCGTCCCAGTTTGTGATGATACCGTGTTCAATGGGGTACTTCAGGGTGAGGATACCTCTTTTGCTTTGGGCTTCATCTCCTACGTAGCTGTCCTTTTGGCCCATACCAACCATGACACCCTGGAAACGGGAAAAACATCTTCAGAACTTGCGGAACTTTGCGGGTCCATCGGAGAGACTTTAACTCTTGGAAAACTCTCAAACATCCGACATGGATAACCCCTAACCAATCATAGGACAACGAGCATAGATTCCCCTCTTGCAAGAAGTTCAGATACCATTCTTGTTTATCCCATTACTACCTTATTGTAAAATACTAAACTGTATTTATTTCCAACCCCTCCTGGTGGGAATATTCTTTTTTCCAATTCGAGAATACTTTCTAGTAAAAATGAATTTCATGATTCCGTATTCTTACTACTTTTAGCAAGTATCCGACAAAATCAAAACCGAGTTATTATGAATACTAAACCACCAGCATTTATTAACTTAGCGAGCAAAATATTTTCACTTTTATTCGAATGAATATTATTTTTCAGTCCGATAATATATTTTAACATGAATTTCATGATTCTGTATACATATTACGAAAAGTTCGCAGTTTTTTTTTTATCTCTGTTTTAACAAGTATTCAACAGAACAACGAACGATTGTATGATCATTATTGACAATGGATGCCTTTGATTGCGAATAGAGTTCTCATTGTACGATTCGTAAAAATGAACGAACACATTGTTTTATAAATAATCAAAACACTGATATAATGACTCAGTTGTATTCCGAAAAAAAATTCAAGAATGACTAACAGAGTTTCGACGAACATAGATTCGCCTTATTAAATTTTACTTTCAAGTCCCGTGTTCAATAATCTATCTTCGAATAAATGTTTTTTTTTTATATATTATTTAAGAAAAAAATGAAATAAAAATCCGTAGAATCGAACCGAGGACAGTTAACACGAGCTGGATATACGAGGCAGGAGGAGTTCTATTCCTGCCGATCTATTTCGAGCGGACTCCCTACCACCCCCTTCAGAGCTAAGTCCATATTTGGTAAGGACTCTAACCCCAAAACAAACGTCTCTAGTATAAATAAACCACGTCTCCTGGAATGCACGGACTTTTAAAATAGCCGGAATCGCGTATTTGCTGGAGTTAAAATAAAAGAAAACTGAACATTTTTTTTTTATTTCAGAAAGCCAAAATGAAAAAAAAAAATCAAATATCAAATGAAATTTCTTATTAGACTTTACAAAATCAAATCCCAGCACACTCTAATATTTTATTGATGGGAATAGAAGAGGAAGCCATGTCGGTGCTTGGAGGATTTGAAGACATCGATGTGGGACAAACATTTAATTTTCGTTATATAACTTCTAGTTTTGGACGTTTCCAACTTCATAAAATCGCAATTAATCGGATGACTCATGGCAATGGTAGATAATGAGTCAACAAAGATTATGGATAGATATAAGAAAAAGTTAATCTATATTAGAAATTAAATGAATCTGATAAAACTGAGTGACTTTTCTGATATTTCTACAATTTTTTTTAGTTATACTTGTTAGATATGACTTTAAAGTTTTAGAAGACAGGGCAATTTAAATAGTTTTTTTAAGTGTCCCGAACAATGCATAAAAAGGATCAAACTAAGTTTTATGTGAAAAATTTCTTATTTTCTTAGTGTGTAATTAAAGAGAAATGTTAATATTTGAATGAATGAATTTAAAAGTTAGCAATCTTTTTATATTAGTTGGAAATTTTAATTTAATGATAGGTGATTTTTTTAAGTTAGTTGAGATCTTCGACTTAGAGAATTTCGGACTTCTAAAATATATATTTTTTCCAAGTTAATCGAGATCTTGAATGGAATTCTTATTGGTTATTTGAATTTCTGACTTGTATTTTTTTCTAAGTTATTTGGGATCTTGAATTGAATGCTACTTGATTTTTTGAATATGAAAGTTAAATTTTATTTTATAAACTAGTTGGAATATTGAATCAAAAGTTAGATAGGAAGTTGAATGCTAGTTGGTTATTTTAATTTTTTTTTTATTAAAGTTAATTGGGATTTTTTAAGTTGGTTCATTATTTGAATTTCGGACTTCTAAAATATATATTTTTTCTAAGTTAGTCGGGATCTTGAGTTGAATTTCTGACTTGTAATATTTTTTCTCCTAAGTTAGTTAGGATATTGAATTATATTGGTATCTTGATTTGAATGCTAGTTGATTTTTTGACTTGTTATGATTTCTTTAAAGTTAGTTGGTGTGTTGAATTGAAATTTTTTTCTAAAGTTAGATAGGATGCTGAATGCTAGTTGGTTATTTAAATTTTTAGTTGTATATTTTTTTTTTGGTTTTTTACTAAAGTTAGTTTGGCTTTTCGAAGTTAGTTGATTATTTGAATTTTGGACTTGTAAATTTTTTTTTTGTTACTTTACCTGGTGCCTGGGTCTTCCGACGATGGATGGGAAGACGGCCCTCGGGGCGTCGTCTCCGGCGAAACCGGCCTTGCACATCCCGGAACCATTGTCAACTACGAGGGCAGCAACATCGTCGTCACACATCTTGCTTGCTTCTGGTTTGCTTCAACACCTAAGTGGCACACAGCAGTTGTTACAAATACTGTACAAGATAGAACACCGGGTATCCACTAGAAGACCTCTCTTGCTTACCTGTAGACAGACCGCTTCCCTGGGCAACTTGCTAGCGAGTGACGTGGTGGGGGCCGGGCCGCAGGCTTTATCCTCCGTCCGTCGGCACCGGGAATAACCGCCCCCCATACATGGCCAGCACCGCCCCACCCCCTCCCCGCCATATTTGGGGTCCCCGTTTCTACGCCAACGAAAAAAGCTCTTGGGGGCCTTCGAAAGAGGGTAAGGCACCCTGTCTAGTATGATTAAATAAAAAAAAATATAATAATAAAATTTTAAATATATATATCCTCAATTAAACTTTAAAAAAAAAATTACGACAAATAATAACCGATTTAATAAAGAACGTGAAAAATTCGAATATCGCATTGCATAGCGAATTATTTTTAGAATGGTATTCACACATATATTTAATAATGATAACTTACTAATAATATTGAATTACGCGAAGCAATCCTAAAAATTTTGACTAATTTTCTTTAAATATCCAATTATATATCAAATAATTAATACACTTGCATCAAACTTGACTACTTGTGTCATTGTGTACATACGATATATACAGTATACGTACATAAGCTTAACTAAGATATAAACTTAACATTTATCTATGTAATATAATATAATAAAATAAACTCCTTTTGAATAGTTTTTATAAAATACAATAATAAAACTATATATATTAGTTTTCAAGTTAATTTATTTTCAGCCATATTTACACCAATTTTTTAAAAAAATTTATGTATAAAAAGAATCTTTATAATTTGAAATATGTTAAAGTAATTGTGATGAGTAGTCACAATTTTGTAGTAGTTGACAACATTTTTAAAAATTGGTGTAAATATGGCTGAAAATAAATAGTATGCACCGAAGAAGAAGTGAAAAATATTGTATATATATTTATTGTTTTTTGTTTAAAACGTTTCAAATATTTTATAAATTGAATAAGAGACTTTTTAAATTCCTATTAATCATTAGTTACCAGGTAAGTTAAGGTTCACTTCTCGTGTAAAAAGATGATTTGACATTTTGTTACCCCTCAGTACCTATGTTACCAGAAAAAAAATTATACAAAGGTCTGATTTCTGGTGACCTGAGACGTTTTGTAATATATTAATTATGAATAAACACTTTTTATAAATCAAAATATATTTTTATAAAATTTGGTTGACTTACTTAAAAAATCTGAATATATATATATATATATATATATATATATATATATATATATATATATGAAATAATTAATTCACTTCCATCAAACTTGACTACTTGTGACGTAATCAATATACACATATATATATACAATATACATATGTAAGATTATATTTAAATATAAACTAAGCATTTATCCATATAAAATGTGAATTCCCATGGAGTATGCAAAACTTATAAAATAAACTCATCTTGCTTTGAGTTACAATGAAAGAAAAAAAAATAGAAAAAAAATATACATAAACATAAATATACATATATACGTATAGTTTTTTTTTTTTTTTTTTGTTAAAACGTTTCAAAAATGTTAGAAATTAAATAAGACTTTTTAAAATTCTACTAATCATTTCACTTCTCGTGTAAAAAGATGTGATTTGACATTTTGTCACCCATCAGTACCTGTGTTACCAGCAAAAATAACTAAAATAAATTATTACAAAGGTCTGATTTCTTGTTGTCTTGTGACCTGAGAAGTTTTGTAATATATTAATTATGAATATACACTTCTAATTAGTAAAAATATATTTTTTTATAAAATTTCATTTATTTACTTAAAAAATCTGAATATCTATGAAACATAAATTAATTGTATGTATATGAAAACATTTGTACTTTAAGATGACAAGATAAAAAAATCACATTATTTCTTTTACAAAACTTGAGGTGAATCTTAACCTTAACTTAATTAATATGGAATCAAAGTTTATTAAACTAGTTTTTCTAAAAGTGTAATAACTGTAGTATTATAGGAGGTTGATAAAAAGAAAATCGCAAATAATTTATGATTTTTATATTAATACAATTTAGCTTAGTTTAGCCATTCTAAAGTTCGCTTTAAATGATTATAACAATAACAAACCCTATTTACTAAATATGTCTTGTTTATAGTGAAGCAATTGTTAATTACTTAGAATAATATTTTTTTAATTTATCACTTCTTATTCAATAAAAAACATGAATTACTTAAAAAAAACACAAAACTTGAGTTTTTGTACTTTTTTTAGTAAAATTGGCTCAATTTTTTATGAATTTTTTTGTATTTGTATGTCTGTTATCACTCCTAAAAAAAAAAATTCCTCTACTTACGGTACTCTCTGTATATACACATACACTTACATAAATACATAAACATAAATACATGTACATTTTTAGCCATTTGAAACGCCTCAATGATTTTAAATAGATTAAGATTTAAGATTTTTCTTACATTACATTACCCAACTTGATCGGTAACATAGCTCAACTTAATTAATATGGACTTAAAGTATATTTAACAAGGACGTTTTTACATAATTAAAAATATAAATTGTTCTGAATATTATATTAAATTAAGCTTTTACATGTTATTGAAATATTACTGCATGTATTAAAAGTGGGGTATATGTATTCTAGTTGGAGAAATAAAAAAATAAAAAAATCGCCAATAATCCATGATTTTATGAAAACAGAACTTATCTTAGTTGAGACACTGACAAGTTCATTTTAAGTGGTTTTAAAAAATAATAACTCTACTTTCATTCAAAGAGTTTAATATGAAGGAATTTTTAATTACCTAAATTAAACATATTTTTAGTTTAAAAAAAACAAAACTTAAATTTCCTGCTTTGCTGCAGAAAAATCAGTTTACATAAAAGTTTTTTATCAGCCCTTTAAGCATTTCCTTTTGCTCTGACTCACTCTGAATAATTTAATGTGAATCATGTTTTCATCTGTTTTAATGAAATTATAAACAAAGCCTTTGTTCAAGTTAATGGTTCATCATCTACTTGTTAAGTTAATATATTTGTTGAATGTATTTTGTACTTAAATAAAACTCTTATATTTCAGAAATTCAACCAGCAAGTTCTTTATAAACATTTTGATTTTGAAAAAAGTTAATTTAATACATACATAATAAAATACAAAAACTATTTTCACATTACGATCAACAAGGAAAAATAAAAGGATAAAGATTACTTAAATGATAAATTTTATTTAATTCTTTTTCAATTTTTAAAAATTATAAATACTAAAACTACTACAAGAAAAATGTCAGGAAACGATTAACCAATAATGTTCCATCGGACAAAATTTAATTTAGTTGATGAGAGTTGCTCAAATATAATAAATAGTGGTTAAAAAATTATTTTAAAATTTATTTATAATTCGTTATATATTGCTTAATTATACAATATAATATTCATTGCGTTCATGACCAAGTTTTATCAGAAGTGTTCCGATTTTTAACACAAAGAGGGTCCGCTACACTCAAGGGGATTTCCAGAGATTACTACGCAAAAATATTATTTTCTGTATCAAGAGTCTGGTAATAATTAATCTATTTATTATATTGTGTTAATAAAGATGTAATTTATTATTTTAATTACTATTTAAAGCTTTTTGTATAATTTTTCTTGAGTTAATTGTAAATTAACAAAAGGAATTTTAAACTTCACCCCAACCAAAAGTAATACTAAAAATAATTTGCACTTATTTTTCACCCACTTGGACACCCAAATTTCCACCCACAGGCAAGAAGAAGTCTCAAAAACAATTACGTTTTCAATTTAAAATAATAAAAAGTATCTTTCATGTATTCGTGTGGATATGGTAGTAACGTAGTAGAAATAAAAATAAAACTAATTTAATAGTATACTTATTATCAAACTATTTATTGATTTTTTAAAAAATGAAAATTATAAATAAAAATCATAAATATATTATAGTACAATTCATAAGAGGGTATAATTTATTAGAGTACAGTCTACAATCTTTGCTGAATTAAAGATTCTAAGAACTAACAAAGACAATTGGTTCATATTCTTGCTATATTCATTTGTCACTTGTTCCATTTCATGAAATATAATACTTACTTACTTTTTTTTTCTTTTATTGAATAACATTCGATCCTTTCTAAATCACTAAAAAAAGTAATATAATTTTCAACTTTAAACTCTCTTGTTCTCTGAAAAAATTCTTTTTTTAACTTACGTTGAATAATTCTAATTATTTTTACGTTTTTTTTTTCCTAAATTGGAATTTTATGTTATCTATAATACGAAACGAAATGAAATAAATAATTTATTAATTTTTAGTCCTGAATACGCCTCAACGTTGACAGTGTTCTAATAAACATGGAAGGCCGTTATTATTAAAAAAATACCTTTTCAGTCTCATTAAATAATTACTTTATTTCAAATTTATCCAAATTTTCCCCTCTTTAGGCATCTTCAGGGATAATCTGGTTTTATATGTTATTTAAATTTTCATCTGAAAAACATATACAAAAATCTTTCAGAGGATTTACTATTAGACAAAATTTTGTGTGTGTTATTTTCAGATGAAAATTTAAATTACATGTAAAAACAGATTATCCCTGAAGTTGCCTGAATAGCCGAAAATTTGGATAAATTTTAAATAATTATTTATCGAGACTGGAAAGGCCTTTTTTCTACTAATACCCATTATAGTATTTTTCCGAAGATCATCTTTTATGAAAAAAATTTAATTTAGTTGTGTATGTATGATTCCTCCCCCCCCCCTCTCTCAATCTACGTTTTTTTGTATATAATCTACAATAATATTTAATTGTTTTCATTAGCATTTATTGGATACTTCTTGCTCATTTATCAGAGAAATATATTTTGTATTTACTGTTGTTTCTTTTTTAGCTAGGTAGCGATTATTTTGTTTCATAGTTTGTTTCATTTCTTATTTATATTGTATATAATTTTATTATTTCGTAAATAGTCTGATTATTTCGATTTTGTATGTATAGTTTGTTTACTTAAGATTTTTTATTTATCTATTTATTTAATGTAATGATTTTTCTGGTGAGATGTTATTGTTTTAATGTAAAACTCTGTTATTCTTAAGGGTCTTCGTCCAAGAATAAAGTTATTTTTCTATCTATTTATGTAAACTTTG